AGTACATGAATCACAGGAAACAAAAAAGGGTCAGTTAACCATTATTTTGGACAGATACCAGTGGGCTGAGTCCTGGTGAGGCCTATTTCTTTTGTAGATTCAGAAGGTAAAGCTTTTGTGCCTATGTCCACCCACCTACTGCTGTTATAGAGAGGGAGGTTTCATTTTTTACATTACAGCTAATGTAGCCAATGGGTGAATCAGCCTGTCAGTGTCCATCCATAAATAAGACATCAGATTTGATTGGACTGACCCTATAAAGGGTAATGGCTAAAGGTCCCTCACATTTCTAATATGTATGGCAATGCAGAATATGCTGGTAGTTTAGAAAAGATGAACATATTAAAATTGTAAAAATTATAATTGCTTTGCTGGATCGGAGAACATCCACAGAATCTACAACACGCTCAAGCAGAATGTTGATTATGAATGCTTTGAGCTTTTTTCTTTTTCTAAAGAAACAGCACACTTGACAAAAAGCCATAGGCCCTGTGCTAAGATCCCTATATCTTGGAACAACAGGTATAAAGATGCCCATGGAAGAGTGAAAATACGAGGCCAATTAATACACTTAAAGAGGAGGTTCACTCTAGAAACAAAAAAATTAAAAGTCAGCAGCTACTGTACAAATCCTGTAGCTGCTGACTGTTAATAAAAGGGATCCAGCGCCATTCTCCTAGATTGTAAGCTCGAAAGAGCAGGGCCCTCAAACCCCTCGTGTTTTGTTTTGTCTCATGTTCTGTCCCCCACTATAATGTACAGCGCTGAGCAAACCTATTAGCGCTATATAAATACAGTATAATAATAATAATAATTCTCACCTGGACTAGTTCTTCAGGGTGCCAGTGCTGGTATCTTAACTGTGGGCAGCCAGCTATGCTACTTTCGGCTTCACAGCTTGCTGCCCACTGCGCATGCACGAACCATGCTGCACTTTGTGAATGGGCACACGAATGAATGGGACACGTCACAGGTCCCAGAAGACTGCGGGGAGGGACAGATTGCCTAGTCAATCAGAGCAGAAGTGGGGGTGAGTACCTGTCACAACTAGGTACCTGCTCCCCCCAAAAAAAGTTCACATGCCAAATGAGGCAGGGGAGGAGAGGTTACAAGCCTTTAGATATTCCAGTTGGACATTTAGAAATATCCATTGGAATATCTATATCTAGGAGCCATGTGTGGTCAGGTCAGTGCACAAATTGCAAGTGAATTCCAATGTAGGTGATTCTGCCATTGTCCTCAGTCTCCATGCAATTGCACCATCTTCCATAACACCTACAAAATAACTCCAGCAATAAGCTGAAATAACGGGGTTCAAGAGGACAATGTGGTGGTGTATGGTGCATTTCTAATTATTAAAATTAGTGCATATCATTATGCAATCACTGAGAAGAATGGTGCACGAATGTTAAGTTTGTTTATATTACAAATAATATTTGGTTCTGGAAGGGAGGTTCCCCAGCCCTGATTTTCATGCTGTGTTTTAGCATAATTTCTTTGGGCCTATTCATCTTTGTGATCTGGAGTGTTTTACAGTACTTGGGACCAAGCTCTGGAATTTCAGTATTCTGTATGCCAACATGATTCATTGGAATTGGTATCTGAGTTGTCCCAGAAGACTGTACAGGACAGGAATCCGTATGTCTTTGAAGAAGACTGTAGATAATAAGACTAGAGTTGTAGCTCCAAAGTTGAAACGTTGTGGAACTCAAGCCAAATGTTTTTAGTTTTAGGTAGAGCAAGGAATAATTAGCATGTCTGTCGATTTTTTATTTCTCCGTGTCCCTATTGGAAGATGTCTTCAAACATCATGTTTTGTGTCTACATAACAAGATGTAAGCACAAATCTTCTCTTCTAGGAGATAATCAGATACAAACATCTGACCATAAGTTCTGATCCTTCCTATTCTATACAAAACTAAAATGTATAAACAAAACCAATGTCTGGAGTTACACTTTAAAAAAGTCAACGGGATTTGTTCCACCTTAATATTTTAAACACAAAGCATGATCTTGTCTTTAGGAAAACTGTATTCCTATTTCTTACCACATTCTTTCCAAGGACACTTCAATGGTGACCATCAATGTCTATGTGAACACATAAATCTGGAGTCAACACCAATCTGAATGGAGGGCATTATGCCTGTACAGCTGTCAGATGAATAACATGTTTCTGCCTTTGGAGGTAACAGAGGAGACATCAGAAATGAAGCATGGCCCTGCCAGATACCAGGTCAGGCTACACATAGCAAGTATGCCTATTAGTCATTTATAAACCTATAAAGGAGAAATGGCAATTCTCTAGACTCTGAACAAGGAGAAAACAAGGGGAAAAGTCTATTAGTTATTCTCCTGCATAAAATTAATGACTAATTAAATTACTGAATGCAGCCGCAACTAATTTTGCTGATGAGCTTCAACAATTAAATTTGTTAAGATAATGAACTGAGTTTTTTGTTTACAAATCATCAAATCATATATTGGGCACTAAACTGAGAGTATACATCATCATTTAGCAGGAAATTAAGAAATTTGCAATACACAGACTGAAACCAAAAAAAATAATTATCGGGGCAAGATTCATGGTAATAAAAACTTGGCACCAAATACATCCATAGCCTATTTGTACTCTAATTAAAATTAGCTCATTAAAACTAACTTGCAAAATAGTGGATTATTTGTCCCTGAATACAATCAAATTATTTTAATGCAGACTAAGAAATTGTTGTGTGTCATATGACAATATATATTTGAATATAAAAATAGAACATCAGGAGCCAAACTGTATCTTTTTCATCAGTTAATAGGAAACATATTGCCATAATATATCTACTCTGACTAGGTCTTTTCACTACTCCTACTGCATGTCAAGCCCTGCGCTACTTTTACTACTGACAAATGCTAGTGGTAGATTTTCAGGGCCTGCAGCTCGACCAATGTTCCTGTATTTGTTCAGCTGAGGCCAGAGAACCCTCTGACATTTTTGAAAATAATGCTCCTGAACTAATTGTTACTTCTTACAGTTAGGCAGGGACTAAGCCATTTAGGTCTTCTCTAGGTGGGGATTAGAAGCACCCAATAGATTAAAGTACAGCTATTTTCAAACATGCAGGGAACTCTGTGCAAGTTGGCACTGATTGCCCCTTTTATTGGGGAAAGATAAACATTGTCACAGTGTGTGTGCACACTTTGGTCAAATAGAAATGGTCACGATGGTCAGGTAACAAGTTCAATGCCAAGCAGATGCCTTACCAGCTTAACGTGCTGTTAAAAGTCTGTCTAGTTTTTGGCAACATTTTTGTTCCAATTTAGTGTTTGATGTTTTATTGATGTGGCACGGTGAATGTCTCCTTATCTATTTTATGTTTTTTGCTGGTTATTTACTTATCCTGTACTTTTACAGTTATGAGTATACATGTGCTGTTCTTGCAGGACCACATCAAATGATGGACTAAACAGCTTTCCTAAAATAAAAGGAACCCATATGTGTACATGCACCTCTAGCATTGTCCACCACAGGGGCAGACTGACCATTCGAACACTCAGAAACTGCCAGAGGGCCTGGGGTCAGTAGGAGGCCCCATGAGATGCCCCTGGTATCTTTCATAGGCTTTTTTGGGAGTGGTTTGAGTGTGGGCAAGGACACAGGGGCCCCATGATCCCCTATTGTCTGGAGGCCCCATGAGTTGTCAGTCTGCCCCTGGTCCACCATAGTCAAATCAACTGCTGTTTAGGCCCAAGAAAGATATTTTCGTCATCCCAAAGCTAACCCATGGAGTCATTTTTTTTTCTTTTTTTCATATAATGTCATGTATGTGATCTAAACATAAGTATATTCCCCAGAACGTATTAACAACTATACAATCATGGATGTACAAGTGTATCGTGATATGTGTTGATCCTTTGTCCTGTACTTAGAATACATAACGTTCTAATAAATGAACTAAAACTGAAAGCATCATTACAAACATAACACAGATCAAAAAGTGCACACAATAAGGCTATAGGTGAGAAGGCTGCTGTCTTCAGGTCATAAATTAACAATAAACCATTAAATGGATGTAGCTAACTATTCGGCAGCTGATTCAGCTTGGCAAATATAGACAAGACTGTAGCAGCTCACTGCCACTCAAGAGTGAGAATGGACAAGCTGTGATGACCGTGGTTCTTATATATCAAGGTGGAGAATGTATCGTATCTGGTTGCTTCTGTAATTTGCACAAAATGAAAGTTATTCTTCTTCATATGCAAGAATGATGTTAGAAATGGATTAATGAGAATATTTCTGCAATAATGAAAATCAGAAAAGGACCCTCTATAATAGAGACACGCTGGAGATGAGCAGTGTAAGACACTAACAAGCTGACTTGGGATTGTTCATTTCTTCTACTTAATTATGCTGCCACCACAGGGAAACCCATCCACTAGGCTCCTTTAATATGTTTTACATGATGTCTCTGTGAAGTTAATGATGAAGTACTGCTAGTGCAGGTAATAGGGGAATCCAAGATCCTTTTCTGAAGACACTTGAGTCATCACTATGATCAGAAAACAGCATCTCATGAGAACAGCTATGGCAGGGAGCAGTTATTTCTCTCAATGATGAAGATGAGTCAGTGAGCTATGGGATGCTTTGTAATCCTTAACAACAATGGACTCCATGGCATTTGTTAAGAGTGCAGATAATGTCATCTTGTCATGAAATGTTCATCTTATTTACAATCAGAGACGGACAATCCAATGCAAGTAATAGGAACCACTGACAGGAGAGAGAAAAATAAAAGTTATGAGTAAATATATTTATATTCATGCTTCTTTTGTAGTACGCCATGGTGTCAGAACGAGAACATGCTTGTCAAACATCGGATAAGGGAGATTCTCTGAAGAGAAAGCAGCAGTTTACTGAAAGGCTGGGCTGCAGGATACTCCATTAGAGAGCTACTTTAACTTCAGCAGACACATAAGATTCAAGTGTTCATTGATCCAATTGCTTCCTGCAGCTATGGCATGTCAGCCACTGGGCGTTTCTGTTTCAAAGTGTCAATCAGGGACTGAACGCCCCGTTTTACACTAGTTGTGACTCTTCGTGTCACTGAGTCTGCAGGAGGTGGTGGAGGCTGAGCCTTCAGGGATGGAGGCCTGGCAACCAGGCACTTCTGATACCGCAACTACAAAGAAACAAAGCACATGTTAGTGGAGGTGTGAACCAATTCTTAAAGCCCAATTTTATCCAAAGCATTTTTTTTTGTTATGAATAAATGGGGAAAAAGTTAGACAGAATTCAGAATTAGGACATAGACAGAAAAAAAAGCATTAATTCTATGGCCAAATTCTGACACTAAATTAGACAGTAAGAGATGACAAATCTTGGCTGTTTGGGCAGCACAAAAAAAGGTTTCTAACCTTCCACCCTTCTTCATGCAGAAAGTAAGCAAATATAAAAATAGTTTTAGATGCATTAATTACTGTTACACAGAACCTTAAATAAATATCTATACTGACAATGCCATTAAAGACAGTAGGGATGTCCAACTTGCAGCTCAAGATGAGATGGGAATGAATGCAGCCCAACACTAAATAGTAAACTTACTTAAAAATCTTGATTTTGGGGGGATTTGTTGTAAAAATGCTATTAGACTTAGTGGACACGTGCAGCTGAAGAAAAAGCTGACAGTGTCTACTGGACTTGTATAAGTTTTACCTTCCTAGAGGAAAATATCCCACTCTTCAAAATTTGCCTTATTCATGTCATCAGTTTTCGACAGCACCTATATTTGTGAGCAACTAATTTCAAGGATGAAGCACAGGTAGGGCAAAATTACAACCAAAATATCTGTTGACCACCTTGAGAATTCACTTGAGAATTGCTACTACATTCATCAAACCAGATATTGATGCGTTAGTTTATCAAAAACAGTGTCAAATATTGCACTAGTTTTATATTGCCCTCTTTTACTTTTATAATAGAAAATATCACAAAAAACTGAAGTTTTATTACTCAGATAAGTACTTTATCTATATCAGTGATCGTTAACTTGTGATCTGCCGGACTTTTCCTGCTCATCAGCTGGCCTTATTTTATGTATGGCCCAAGACAATTCCACTTCTTCTAACGTGACCCAGGAAAGTCAAAAGGTTGGACACCCCTGAGTTAAATATGTATCGAATATATATATGGTACCAACATGTTAAACTGTCAACATTTTCTCTGGAGCTCAGTACAATCTGTGACTTGTGGTACAGGTATATACAGCAAGGGGCTTGTGAGCCTGTAGTTTATTACATTACATGGAACTTTGGAAAGATTGAATTACAGGAAAATCCTCTCACCATGCAGGCTGCTTGTACAGCTTCGGAAACACTTCCTGCATTAGGGTCACACCAGAAGACATGAGTCTCAAAGTGCTGATTTCCAGTGTCCATAATAAAAGCGAAAGTGTGAATATCTCTGCCAACTCCCATGAATGACAGAAAGCGAACCCTGCATTCCACCAAGACCTCTTCTTCCTGCCAGACAGAACAGATTAGAAATATAAAGTAGCAGCTTCACACATTTCACATAGATCTGAATAGATAAAATGAAAGTGCTTTTGTACACAGCCACCATAATCAACTGTGAGTATTTGTAATTTTCCAACAGCCTGCAAAGAGACTTTAGGCTAGAACACCATTTTACTACTCAAACTCAATAATTCTGAAGGGAATGCTGGTTTCTCTAGGATGTTATAGAACGCTGGATTTATGTACTTACCATAGAATCCACTTATTAGAGTTCATTGAGGGACACAGAACTTAGAGAATTGGGTTATACTCCCTAAAGAGGGATTTGTACAATGGCACATGAAACAAAATGTGACCAGACCAGTATAACCTCTTTCATTCCCAGCATGTCTTAGTTTTGTAGAAAGGAGCTGCCTGAAGGACTTTACACCCAAAAATGGCATAAGATGACACCTGAACATCCACCTGGTAAAACGTAGAGAATTTGTGAGCAGAAGACCAGATGGCAGCTTTGAAAATCTGGGAAATAGACCTAGTAGAGTGTGCCTTCACAGGAAAGGGTGGAAACCAATCCTTAAGACCATAACTTTGGATGATGATCTGTCTGAGCCACCTTGAAGTGGTGCAGCAAGAAACTGAATGGTGGACGTCTAGTGAACATACTTTATCTAGATTTTGCTAAGGAATTTGATACTGTACCTCATAAATGTTTAATTTATAAAATAAGGTCTGTTAGAGTTGATGAAATTATATGTACTGTACATAGATAGGAAACTGGTTATATGAACAGGTCCAGAGAGTAGTGATTAATTACATATTCTGTGAATTATCTAAAGCTGAGTAGTGTGCTTCGGGGTTCTGTTTTGGGGCTAATGCTATTTAAAAATGTTTATTAATGATATAGAGGTTGAAATCAAGAGCTCAATTTCAGTGTTTACTGATGATACCAAATTATGCTAGGAAATTACTTTATCACAGAATGGCTAGCATTATTACAGGAAGATCTTAATAAAATAGGGGTCGGGCAGCTACACGGCAGATGAGGGTTAATATTGAGAAATGTAACGTTATGCACTTGGGTGTCAAAAATACACAGTACGAGGGGCTTCACTAGGAGAATCAGTGATGGAAAAGGATTGGGGGTGCTTGTAGATCACAGACTTAACTATACCATTCAATATCAAGCTGCAGCTAACAAAGCAATCAAAATACTGTCATGCATTAAAAAGGCATGCATTATAGAGAAAAATCAATAATTCAACCTGTTTACAAAACACTGGTTTGGCCTCGCTTTTATATATGCAGTGCAATTTTGGTCACCAGTCCTCAGGAAAGATGTTGAATTATAGTTCAGTGAAGGGCAACAAAATAATAAGGGGAACAGAGGACCTCAGCTATGAGTATCGATTACATAGATTACAGTTATTCACTCTGGAGAAAGGACGCTTAAGAGGGGATATGATTATAATGTAAAAAAATATACACTGCTCAAAAAAATTAAAGGAACAGGTTTTAATTAGAGTATAGCATCAAGTCAATTAAACTCCTGGGATATTGATCTGGTCAGTTAAGTAGCAGAGGGGGTTGTTTATCAGTTTCAGCTGCTTTGGTGTTAATTAAATTAACAACAGGTGCACTAGATGGGTAACAATGAGACAATCCTCAAAACAGGAATGGTTTTACAGGTGGAGGCCACTGACATTTTTTCCCTACTCATGTTTTCTGACTGTTTTTCACTAGTTTTGCATTTGGCTAGAGTCAGTGTCACTACTGGTAGCATGAGGCGATACCTGGATCCTACAGAGGTTGCACAGGCAGAACAACTCCTCCAGGATGGCACAAAAAATACGTGTCAGTGCAGGAAGGTCTGCTGTGTCTCCCAGCAGTCTTAAGAGCATGGAGGAGATTCCAGGAGACAGGCAGTTACTCTAGGAGAGCTGGACAGGGCCGTAGAAGGTCCTTAACCCATCAGCAGGACCAGTATCTGCTTTTTGCAAGGAGGAACAGGATGAGCACTGCCAAAGCCCTACAAAATGACCTCCAGCAGTCCCACTGGTGTGAATGTCTCTGACCAAACAATCAGAAGACTTCATGAGGATGCCCTGAGGGTCCAACATCCTCTAGTGGACCCTGTGCTCACTGTCCAGCACCATAGATCGCGATTGGCATTTGCCATTGAACACCAGAATTGGCAGGTCCATCACTGGCACCCTGTGCTTTTCACAGCTGAGAGCAGGTTCACCCTGAGCACATGTGACAGACAGGAAAGGGTCTGGAGAAGCTGTGGAGAACGTTATGCTGCCTGTAACATCGTTCAGCATGACCATTTTGGTGCTGGGTCAGTGATGGTCTGGGGAAGCATATCCATGGAGGGATGCACAGACCTCTACAGGCTAGACAATGGCACCCTGACTGCCATTAGGTATGGGGATGAAATCATTGGACCCATTAGCAGACCCTACGCTGGTGCAGTGGGTCCTGGATTCCTCCTGGTGCACGACAATGCCCGGCCTCATGTTGCGAAAGTATGCAGGCAGTTCCTGGAGAACTAAGGAGTTGATACCATTGAATGGCCCCCATGCTTGCCTGACCTAAATCCAATACAACGCCTCTTGGATATCATGTTCTGAATCCATCAGACACTGCCAGGTTGCACCTCAGACTGTCCAGGAGCTCAGTGATGCCCTGGTCCAGATCCGGGAGGAAATACCCCAGGACACCATCTGTCGTCTCATTAGGAGCATGCCCCGACGTTGTCAGGCATGCATACAAGCACGTGGGGGACCATACAAACTACTGAGTACCATTTTGAGTTGCTGCAATGACATTTCAGCAAAATGGACTAGCCCGCTGCATTTTTTCACTTTGATTTTCAGGATGTCTTTGAATTCAGTCCTCTATAGGTTGATAATTTTTATTTTCATCAAACGATGGGGCATCCTTACATTCCTAAAACATTACCCAGTCCATATCATTATAGATATCCAGCATGATATTTTTCCCCATTGAGATCTGATGTGTTTTCAGAGTGTTCCTTTAATTTTTTTGAGCAGCGTATCAAAGAAGACTTCAGTAACTGTGACAAACTGTTTAAGGTCCCTGAAGAGGATAACATAGGGTTAGAATAAAGAAGGTTTAACCTTAGATTTAGGAAATGGTTTGTTACTGTTAGAGCAGTACAAGTATGGAACTCGCTCCCTCAGGAGTGGTATTAGCTGGGAGTGTTTAAAACTTCAAAAAAACTTTTATATGTCTTCCTCAGGAAGCAGAATATACAGGGCTATGAGAATTGTTAGAAGATAAAAAAAATCACACACACTTAGGTTGAAGTGCATAGACCTGTGTTCTTTTTCAACTTTGCAAACTATGTGACATTGTCCTTATGTAATACCAAAATGGTTCTTTCCAGAACAAAGCCACCATCTCTGAGACGTGCCTCGCAGAGCTGATGGCAACAAGGAAAGAAACCTTGTTAGTAAGAGTGGAAAGGGGATAACTCTGCTAAGTTCAAAAGTTGGGTAGGGAAGTGCTATACTCAGATCCCACAGAGTCATGGGTGCATGCTCAGGGGGAGCTACATGAGAGACACCCTGACCAAAGGTCTTCATTAAAGACTGGTAGGCTTGCAGTCTCTGAAACAAAATCACAAGTGCTGGGATCTGACCCTTGATGGTTCTCAGGGCCAACTGTTGATCCATGCCTGATTTGGAAAAGGTGAGGATTCATCCCAAGGAGTATCTCCTCGGATGAAAGTTTCTTTCCTTGTACTAGATGAAGTATGCCTTTCATGTGCAATGGTAGACCTTGTAGGAAGTAGACTTTGTGGTTTTTGACCTTCTGGGAATCATCGATTCAAAGATACCCCTGTCTATTAAGACTTAGAATACTTTAGCTGGAGCAAATGAGTTAACCTTAGTTACATCCTTGATGAGGGTTTCCATAGCAGCTCTAAAGAGACATTGCATTTTGAAAGGCATGATTTTTGTGCACCAGCTCTGCAGCCCAATATTTGAGTTGATGAGTTCACTGACAGGAAACTTGGATTTAAATCAGGCCACATTCACTAAACCATTCAAGCAGTAGCTCAAGGCAGCTGGTAGGAGGTTAACACACTCCACAAACAGGAGATCAGTTTGGAGGGAAATAGGATTTATTCTTATGGCCCTAGTCCATTCCCCTAAAATATGAAAGACAGGTACAGGCAGTACAGACTGCAATAGGGTAGAAGTCAGAGAAAACAGAGTTTTGGAAAGCATCTGTAGGCATTTTTTTATGGAATCCCTGAAAACAGACACATCCCCAATGGGGATTGTGAGACCAGAGTGAGAATGGCCCAGTTCTTAATAAAAAGACTCCTCAAAAGGGTACACTGATGCCAGAAATTTAGGTAGGGAGGGGTGAACAGCATATCAGGGGTCCCCAGTTCCCATAAAGAGCTCCGGTGACAAGTGGGTGCTTCAGAAGGTCTAGGTAGTGTTAGGGCCTCTAAGGGATCCTAGAGAGGTAGAAGCACTAGTAGAAACTGCAGACAGATCTTGCAGTTTTAAAGTGTTGTGTCAATAAAAGCTGAAATGATTTATCCTAACCTGGAAGTAATGGCAGAAGCCTGCAACTCCTCAGGGACAATGCCACCTGTTAAGGATTTATAGGGCTAAAAATCAGACATAGACTTTGCAGCAGAAGCCATGGCTGTAGGCAAATTAAGAAGCGATTCTGCAGGGGAATGCATGCAGGCACATCTATGTCATATGAGGTCAGAGTCAGCAATCAAGGTGGTAATTTGGCCCATTAAAACCTTCATTACTGGAAAATCCTCCGGGGATAGAATTGAGGAAAGGGCCTTGCCTAGGGGAGCTAGAGAAGAGGACGGTGTCTAATGTTTCCATGACATTTCCAGTACTGCAAGTTATGGATGCTGAGAGCTATTAAACATTTTAGAACAAGGATGTTGGATTGTGCTGAAATATATATCAATAGACACATCTAATTAAAACTCCTGCAACAAA